TGAAAGTTTATGGAGAATCCGTGTTCCTGAAGAACACGGATTGTAGTCTCTAGATCCTGCTGGGCAAGCTGGGACGAGGACGATTGGATGAGAATATCGTTCAGGTAGCACTGGAGACGCACCGGGATGGACCTGAGGTACACCGCCAGTGCTGCCAGGATCTTTGTGAATGACCTGGGAGCTGAGGCTAAACCAAACGATAGAGCTCTGTACTGAAAGTGAAGATCCGAGTAACAGAACCTCAGGTACCATCGGTGCCGGGGATGGATGGGGATGTGGAGATAAGCCTCCGTCAAATTGATCAATGACAGGAAGTCGCCCTCTCTGATGCTGTCCAAGATTGACTGCAGAGAGTGCATTTTGAACCTCTTTTACGTCAAATGGACGTTTAACCTTTTGAGGTCCAGAATTGGTCTCCATCCCCCCGAGGCCTTTGGAACAAGGAAGACAATCAAGTAGAATCTGTGCCCACGTTGATCTTCCGGGACTGGCTCGATGTCCTGGTTCTCTAGGAAATGTGGGATCGCCTTGTCCATGAGATCTCTCTTGGCAGTGTTTCTGGAGATGGGGCAATGGACAAAGTGCCTCGAAGGAATGGAGAAAAATTCCAGAGTTAGGCCGAATCTTAGAGTGTTCAAAACCCACAAGTCTGAAGTCATCCTTTCCCATTGGTGGGCAAATACACCTAGGTACCCGCCAATGGGTGGAGAGCTCTGGCAGTCACTTGAAGCGGCGAAAGGGACGTCCCCTCTCCCCCACAAAAGGGCCGCTTGGCCTGAGGATGCTGTTGCTGTCTAAACCTATCCCGGAAGGGAGGTCTGTCCTGTTGGTCAGACCTGGGGGGAAAAGAACGTTGAGAAGGAGGAATCAGCAACACTGTCTGATTGGCAAAAGGAAGGCCGACGCCCATACGGCAAAGCCCGCCCATCAGCTCTCCTAGTAACAGAGGACAAGGCTTTACACTTGTCTTGTTCTCTGTCAGAAATGGGTTCAAGGTCTCTCCGAAGAGAGTCAAACCCACGTAGGAGCAGAAGCCAACTTCCATTTGGTCTTTGCATCCGCCTGCCATTGACGAAGCCACAAGAGCTTACGGGAGGTATTGTTAGAGGCGAGAGCCCTAGAGGAGAAACGGGCAGCATGCAATGAGGAATCAGTCGAAAACTCAGCTGCTGCCACCAGTTTGTTAATGTCTTGGTGAATGCATGTCTCCTCTGGGGGAACTCTCGCCTGTAACTCAAGTGTGTACAGCGGAAATTCAATTCCGCCTTTCTATCCTCGGCCTTTAAGGCCTCAGCCATGTCCCCGGAGACTGCTGAGGGGGAAACAAGAAAGGCCAGAGGATCATCCAGTGAGGGTAACTCCAAGGTATCTGACAAGGAAGGAGCCACATTGAAGTGCCTCCTATCATTACTGCCTAGTTTGGGAAAAGTCCCAGGTTGGCTCCACTGCCTTTGAACAACATCAAGAAAAAACCTGGGACAGGGGATGTTATTCTGCGTAATGACTGGTTCAGAGAACTCAGCCTTGTCTAACACCTGAGGATTCGAAGGTTCCACGGGTATGGATGAAGGGTTCCCAATTTGGGCAGTGGCCTTGGCTTTATGAAGGAGGGACCTGAACAGCGCTGGACGGAAGAGTCCCATAAAAGGAGGGCATCAGGAACCATCTTGAGTTCATCATCAGAGAAACCTTGACCCAACTCCACCTCCTCTAATACAGAGGCTCTATCCTAAATGAGTGAGCTGGGGATGTGGACCTATGTGATTGCTCAGCCTCTCTGGCATACAAATAATGGTGAGGTTGCTGGGAATGTGTCTCAGAAGAGACAGAAGCAGCCCTGTTCCCCAGATGCAGGGTATTGGCCACACCCTGGGAGATCGCATGTGAAATGAGGACCTTAAGTTCCTCAGATAGTCCAGATTCATGCCTCTCAGCTGGGGGGAAACCTGCTGAAGTTGGAGTAAAGGGAGCTTCAGGGGCTAAAGATCTCTGCCTAAACTGGGGATCAGGGCCTACAGTTGCCCTACAGTCAAAGGGAAACTGTTCAGTTTGAATTAAACCTTCTGTTGGAAATATAAAAAAATGTTCCCTATCGCCCTCTGGTGACCAGCTCATAGGAACTGCAACAGTAGTCTGCAAACCTGGGGGGAGGTGGAGACTGCTTCAGACCAGGCAAGAGCTGGCATACTTTCCTGCTGTGCTCTGGGAATTTGTTTCTCCAGAGCTCTCATTCTCTTGTCCATATCCTTTTCTTCAGCTCTGGAAAGTTTCCTGGAGTGAAGGGCTTTCGCCTTGAGTTTTCCAGCAGCCTCCTGGCTGGCTGGTTTGCCTCTTCTGGAGCTGGTTTTTTTGCTGGGAGGTGAAGAAGAAGAGGCTTTCTGCCCTGCCATGCTGTTGGCCATCAGAAACGGATCAGCCCTCTTGACAGCACTTTAGCCCCTTCGTTGACTGCTGCTGAATGGGACTAAAGAAGGCTGGGCTGTGGTGGCAAGCCAGCACACTGTCCCTGTAGCTCTGAAGCTGTCAGGGAAAAAAAGCCAAACTGACAGCAGAGGATGGCCAAGCCAAAGGAGGCTTCCAGACTAGCCTCCTTAACGCAAGCGATGCTAAAAAGCCAAACTGCAAAGATCAATAAAGCCGCTAAGCGGAAAAAAGAAAAAAAGCCTTTTAAAAGGTGAAAAAAAACAGCTCTTTAGCGCGCGGGGGGGAAAAAACCCCTCCCTGACAGAAAGCAGCTGCAAGCGAGGAAAGCTATAGGGACTCTAAGGAACAACAAAAAGGAAAGGAAAAAAAAAAGCCTCGGCAGCGTTTTAAAGCGCTGCAAAAGCTAACCTGATAGCACAGAACGAACAATTGAAGAATCCACACTTCTGTCTGGAGATTGAAGAGCCAATCAAGCCACAACCTCCTCAGGCAAAACTGAGTTGTGAACTGGGGAAAGTGACAGTTGACAAGGGGTATGACTAAAATTATGGACTCAGTCTCCAGGCAGAATGACATGTGTCAACCCAGATTCTCCAATCATCGTGCTGGAGAACAGGGGTGTCAAACTGGCGGCCCGTGGGCTGGATGCGTCACTCCAGCTCCACAAATGGGAAAAACGTCATGAAACATGACATGATGGCAACGTGATGCCGCAAGTTTGACACCCATATCCTAGATGATAGCTTCAAGATCCACATGGAGCTTGACAGACTTGAACACTGGGCCCTATCTAACGAAATGAAATTCAATATACAGAAAAGTAAAGTCTTGCACTTAGGCATGAAAAACCAAAAGTACACATATAGACTGGGTGAAACCAGGCTTAACAGCAGTAACTATGAGAGGGATCTTGGAGTCTTAGTAGACAACCAGCTAAATATGAGCCAGCAATGTGTGGCAGCAGCCAAAAAAGCTAATGCAATCCTAAATTGCATTAACAGAGAGATCAGGTGAGGTACTAATACCACTCTATAAAGCTTTAGTAAGACCACAGCTAGAGTACTTCATCCAGTTTTGGTCACCACACTATAAAAGATGTTGCGACTCTAGAAAGAATGCAGAGAAAAGCAACCAAAATGATTAGGGGGCTGGAGTCTAAAACATATGATGAACAGTTTTGCAAGTACTCAGTATGGGTAGTCTAGTGAAGAGAAGGACCAGGGAACATATAATAACAGTGTCCAGTATTTGAGAGGCTGCCACAGAGAGGAAGGGGTCAAGCTATTTTCCAAGGCACCAAAAGGCCAGACAATGAATAATGGATGGAAACTGATCAAGGAGAGATTCAACTTAGAAGTGAGAAATTTTCTGACAGTGTACAATCAACCAATGGAATAGCTCGCCTTCGGAAGTTGTGGGAGCTTCATCACTGGAAGCTTTCAAAAAGAAATTGGACTGCCATTTGTCAGAAATGGTGTAGTCTCTTACTTGGGTGCTGGAATGGCTGAAACTCTGAGATTTTTCCTAATCACAATTTGTTCAGTGCTGTTATAACCTTAGTCACTGAACAAATGGTCATGAGTTAAGCAGAACAAAAGCATTTTACTCAACTACAAAGATGTGTGAAAGAAACATTCTGTAAATAGAGCATACCTTGCCCTTGCCTGAACAATTGTTTTGTTTGGATCCACTTTTTTTGTGCAGATAGGTGTTGCAAAGGCAGCAATACCAAGATAGTGACAGCACACAAAGAAAAGGAGCTGGGATAATCAAGAGCAATGTAGATAGACCAGTCAGGTTGTTCCTGCTGTATTTGAATTCAAGCAAGATAGCAGCAGGAAAAAAAACCAGCATTGGGAGTGGGGAAGGTGTAGGTTGGGAGCACAATGTAGCAGTTAAAATCAGAAAAAAAATGGCTGAGACAACTGGAGGAAAAAAGGTCAAAGACTAAGCTAGGAGCATAGCAGTTGCAGGCAAAGAAGGTAATGGGATTATTCACTTTGGAAGACCCATCTAGACTTTGTTGTAGTTCCTGAAGAGCCATATAATTCCAAATTTTGGTTCAACCACAATCCTGTTAAACCCTGAGCTACAATATATTCCGTGTTCTGCTACTTTTTATTCCATGTATCTGCTTACTGTGCAGTGATCTTGCCCCAACTGTGGCATCTTTCTATAGCCATATAGGATGCCAGAGTTGTGGCAACACTATTGTATTCACTGCCAATTGTAAAATGAACAGGGTAAATCACACTTGAATTTTTTCTTGTTTCAGAGATTCTGCTATTAGAAATAAGTATTAGGACAAATGTCACATGCTCACTATCTTCCGGGATTGGTGAAAAACTGTTGCCAACTTTCATACATCATAAACAGAAGGATCCTGAAAGCTGCAAAGTTTGCAGGTTGCTCATCCCTCACTTAGACTCCCAACCTATTAATTATTATTAGTTTCACATACATGAAAAGCAGAAAGACTTAAAGCTCATAGCAAGTTACTGATTAAAATTAAACTGGTCAGCTAAATTGTTTAAAACAGAAATATATAATCTTTTCCCTGAAGAGAAGCTACTTACTTTAGCCAATAACTGAAGATATCAAGGAGAGAAGCAGCATTTGGATCTTGCTCAGTCTACAAAAGAATCATAAAGAAAATGAAAATTGGGAAAAAAATAAGATAAATAATATTTTAACAGTTACAGATACACATAACAATCCTGTCATCTTGCAAACATCTTATAAGTACAGAGTTGTTACGCAAAGCATTCTCCCCATAAATACAGGTGGTCCTCAACTTACAACAATAAGTTACAATGGCACTGAAAAAAGTGACTTATGACCATTTTTCACACTTATGATCCTTGTGGCATCCCCATGGTCACATAAATTCAGATGCTTGAGAACTGACTCACATTTATGATGGTTGCAGTGTCCTGGGGTCATGAGATCACCTTTTGCAATCTTCTGACAAGCAAAGATCCACTTAATAACCGTGTTACTAATTTAACAACTGCAATGATTGATTTAATTGTGGCAAGAAAAGTCATAAAATGGAGCAAAACAAATTTCTCACTTAAACAACAGATATTCTAGGCTCAATTGTGGTTGTTGGGGACTAGCTGTAGTGCATTTAACAATAAAACAATTCCACTTGAAGGCCACCAGATTTTCAAGCGCTGATAAATGCTTTTAAGCAGACCACAATATAATTTGCTTGGTTTACTAAACTAAACACATCAGCAAAACAAGTTTTTTATTATTGGTAATATTATTGGTAGAAAGAAATATCTAGCAAGGTAACACTTAAAAACACTATTTTAAGAAATAAGATTACTTCTAGGTTTTCTGTTTAAATTAAGTTTTAAAAGTAAAGATCAATTTAGTGCATATTGTTTCCTATAAAAGCTTTTAAAGCTTCTTATACAATGTATTATGCAATATAGAAACTGGGATATATAAATAATATATAAAACAGTTATTAATGATAGTACAAGTAGTCCTTGACTTACAAATTCATTTAGTGATTGTTTAAAGTTACAATGTTACTGAAAAAAGTGACTATGACCATTTTTCACTTACAACCATTGCAGCATCCCCATAGTCATATGATCAAAATTCCGATCCTTGGCAACTGACTCACATATATGATGGCTGCAGTGTCCTGGGGCCATGTAATCACCTTTTGTGACTTTCTGACAAGTCAACAAGGAAACTAGTTCCACATAACAACCATGTTACTAATTTACCAACTGCAGCGATTCCTTTAACAACTGTGGCAAAAAGTCATAAAATGAGGCAAAACTCACTTAAATGTTTCACTGAGCAACATAAATTTTTGGCTCAATTGTGGTAAGTTGAGGACTACCTGTACTGTTATTTGCTACACTTATATACCTAAGCAAAGGGCAGTACAGAGACAGCAATAACACAGGGACGACGAGGGGGTGTAACATTCTAAATCCAGAGGAATCCCCCCCAGGTAGTAGTTGAGTAGCAGCGTTTCTTTTAAATGCCACGTGCGGCCACAGTATTCCCATAAGGTTTCATCTAAATTTCCCAAAAGACTGCAGTCGACCTCGACAAGATCTTCCAAGCCTCCCTTCTTCCTTACACCTGGGAGCACCTGCCCTGCAGACATCCACGTGGCTATCCTGCCAGCCAATTCGGATAGTCGCGAAGACCTCCCAAAGGCACTTCCGAAACTGCGGCAGGGATTCCCTGTCCTGCAATCACGTGGGAAGATGCCCTTCCAGGATGGCCATGCACATGCGTGCCCGCCACTTTGGCCTCACCACTCCAGCCGCTTTCTTAAAAGCCCGCGCCGCCCCATCGAAATGGTTTTCCCGCAAGAAACCAAGCACCAGCGGGAACAAGTCACTCGGCACAGCACGCTCCGACGCCATCTTTTCGCCGGAAGACGCAGTCGCCGCGCCGGATGCTGTGTGGGAGGAGAACTTAGAGATATAACGTTAGAGTGGCGCTTCTTTGTCTTTTCTGCGACTGCAGTTGCGAAAGGGAAAAATCTCCAGCACCTTCTGAAGAAAACAAACGGCTGCTTTCGAAACTTGCATATAATGCTGGGAAGGGAGGGGCAAGCTGTTATATCAGGCTGAGGTGAGGTTAGAGAAGCTTCTGCCCCGCTCCTATTGGCCACCTGGGACTCCTCCTCCTGCCGCTGAGTTGTGGCCCCTGGATTTCTGAGCCGTTTGTCCTTGGGCGACGGGGAGCGGAGGTTCTCCCTATGCTGGGAGTCCCACTGCACAACTTCTCTTGCCAACCCGCGTTCGCAGCAAAAATGGCAAGATAAGGAGAGCAAGCAGGGTTATTTTCTTCCCGCTCTCTTCCCCCTCTTCTCCCATGACAGGGAGAGGAGGAAGCAGGATCTCCTGTTATCCAGTCTCGGTGGGCCGCAGGCCTTTTAATCATGTGTCCACTGGTCTGAAATTTATTGAAATTTATCCTAGCTGCCTAACTCTGTGGACTCCCAGCGGCATACAAAAAAACCCCAAATCCATTAAAACAGATAAAACATGCATGAACCATGATAGTAAAGCGGTCTCTGAAACGAATCTCGATAACATGTTTAGAGCAGGGGTCGCCAATCTTTTGGATCTCAGGGACCACCAATCTCATGCTTTTAAATCCTGAGGACCACTAATACGATTTTTTTTAAAAAGCTAATATATTTAATATTTTTTTATGTTAAATATAAATTTATATGGATCTTTGGTTGTTCGGGTTTTCTCCCGCGTAAGATTCGAAGTATCTAGGCAATGTTTCGATGAAGTCTCATTCATCATCTTTAGGCTTCTGTCTTCAGCTCTGTGCTTCTCAGAGTGATGTGAAATTGCAGCTGCTTCTTCCTTTTAACTGCTAGTGCGGGTGTGACTTGATTGGGTGGGGACTTGGCTGTGTTCTGATTGGGTGGGGGTGTGTTCTCATTGGTAGGGGGTTTGGCTGTGTTCTGATTGGTTGGGGGGTTGGCCGTGTTCTGATTGGCTGGAGGCGTGTTCTGTTCAGGTGGGGGCTTGGTTGTGCTCAGGTTAGTCTTAGTTGCTGGGGGATTTGAGTTGGTGAGCTGTGATCTTGCTGTTTGGCTTCAAGTTCGTGGTCGTGCTGCATCTTCATAGTGGGTGTCGGTTTGCTTCGTGTATGGCTTGGAGGGGTTTGAAGTGGGTAGTGATGCAGCTGCAGTGCGGCTTCTGGTCCATGGTCGTGTCTCATCTGAGTGGGTGTGAGTCTGTTTTCTACATGGAAGTGTGGTGGTGGCATCTTGTGTGGCTCTCATGGGTGTGGGTCTGGTGTCATTCTTCATGTTAGGTACTCGTCTGTTCATGAGGGCGGGTTTCCAAATGGCTGGAAGGCGGGAGGTGTCATCTCGTTTATTCATGCTGTGTGGGCGTTTTTCTATCTCTATGGCTTCTCTGATTATTCTGCTGTTGAAGTGTTTGGTTTTGGCGATAGTTCTGGTATTTTTAAAGTCAATCTCAGAGCCGAAGACAGAAGCCTGAAGATGATGAATGAGACTTCATCGAAACGTTGCCTAGATACTTCGAATCTTACGCGGGAGAAAACCCGAACAACCAAAGATCCACATACAAATACCCGCGAGAACCTCAGAAAACATATATATATATATATATATATATATATATGTATGTATGTATATATGCATATACATACACACGCACACATATACATATACACACACATACATGATACACACACACACACTTATTTAATTATAACAAAAATGTAAATGCTTAATGATAACAAAATAAAACGTTCCGGGCTGGAAGCCTCCCCCCACCTGCCACCTTCCAAAGAGACAGAAGAGCGGGCGGGGCGTGTGTGTGTGTGTATGTCTGAGCTGAGGGGCCTTGGGGCAACTGCCGCTGGGAGAAACAGAGGCAGAAAGGGGCCTTTACGTTCCTTGGGCGGCAGCGCCCCTTGGCTGCCACGTGGGCAGCATCTGCCTGCAGAAGGACTGCTGCTCTTGGTGATTAATTGGGGGAGAGGAGGGGGAGAGAGGGGGAGCTCCTTTCAGATCCCGGGAGGAGGATTTAGAGGCACAGATCTGCAGCCGAGGAAAAGCTGGGGGGGGCTCTTCCAGCGTCACCTGGAAACAGGCAAGGAAAGGTGTTCCTGGGGGCACTTCACTCGCTTTAGCACTTCACTGCCAAACCCAGCCACAGCCAGTGATTATTTGGGGGTGGGGGGGGGAGAGAGAAAGCATCTCTCGCATTACCAGGGAAGGAAAAGAGATGAAACAAAGCTCACTCTTTCACTGAGACCTACAAAACAGCAATCTACCATGTTCCAGGAGTTCTTCGAAATCATCAAACGCTCCCACTTGCAGTTCCCGTGTCATGCGGCTCAGGTCCCTGAGATGCACGCTCCCACACACGGCGGCGGCAATAACAGTCCCCTCCCGATGGACTTCCAGTTTGTAGCGCTTTGACAGCAGCAAGAATCTGCGATCGTGCACGGTTTCTGCTTGCACTTGCTGTTGGAGTGCCCCGAGCCAGCTGGCTTCGGGGCTAAGCCACCCCGTAGAGGTGGTCGCAGATAGGGGAGACCTGGCAGGGTTTGAGGGGAGCTGCACCTCCCCTCCTCAGCTGGCTTTAACTCCCTTTTCTGAAGGCGGTAGAGCGGCGGTCAGAAATGGCCACCACAAAGAAGCACTCATCTGGAAAAGAATGTGCAGGAGGAAGCTAAGAAGTGAAAGTTTTGGCTGACCGGGATAAGAAGCAACATTCAAGATATCCTGGAGCTTAAATTTAAAAAAAGATACATCGCTCTCAAAGAAGATCCGGAAGCAGCAAATGAAAGTGAAAAGGGAAAGTTTGTTTTTTCTCACTCTCCTTCCTTACTGTGACAGCAGATGAATGAGAAATCGGAAAAACCCGCTTTGGCATTAGCAGGTAATTAAACTGGAAAATCAAAGTCAAGAGGACAATAAAGATTTCTGATCACTGAAAAAAATTTTTTTGCTGTAAGTGGGAAGGAAGAGGAAAAGAATAAGAGTAAAATTTGGCTGGAAGAGACTGCTTGGAATTTAAAAGAATCTAAAGTTAAATTGTAACAAGACTTCTAAAAGATACATTTCAATTGGAACTTTGTAACTGAATTGTAACCCCAGGAAGAGAAAGTGAAAAAAAGAAGAAAGCGTTAAATGAAACAGCTTGTGTGTATTTGGACTGCTTGGTGACTTTGGGACTTTGGGAAATTATATTTCAATGATTAAAATCACTTGGGTGGTTGTCTAAATTTTTTTTTACAATGGCATCACTTGTGGATGAACTGAAAATCGAATTTTAAAAATATAAAGAGGAACAAGAAGGGAAGGGCTCTTTTGGCTCCGTTTTTAATTTTTTAGAAATGTCGATCTCTACTTATGAGAAACTACAAGAACAAGAAGATTGGGACAAAGAAGAAGCCATCTTTAATGAACAAGTAACTTTATCTGGGGAAGAAAGGGGGAAAAGAGAATGGAGAATTTAAGACCTAAAAAAAACAACCAAAAAAGGGAAAAATAAAGTGAAAAGTGGATATAATGTCAGAAAGCAACAGAAAAGAGGAATACAGAAGAGGGAGATGGAGAGACAAGGGGGTAAAAAGGGTAGAGTGAAGAAGCAAGGGAGGAAGGAAGGGAAGAGAAGCTACAAAGGTTTGAAACAAGATGTAAAGAAACAGGATTTATTTAGAGATAATGGGTAAAAATATAACTGAAAAAGAGATTCTGCAAAGGTACATAAGACTGTATGGTTGTATTTGTATTAGAAATAAGGTTAGAAAATTGGAATAACATGATTATAAAATGGGATAAAATATTCAATGTAATTCAGTGAAACTTTTTTTTCTCTTGGACAAAGTAAATGAAATATGAGAGAATTGAACTAAGAAGGAATGGGAACATTTTAATTACATAATGTTTTAAAATATAAGTGAAATGGGGGGGGAAGTAACTATGCAAAATTTATAAGTGTTCCCATAGAAGCATGATATCTATTTGAAAAGGAATGTGTAAAATGTTTAAGATTTAAATGAATATTAATTTTAATGATAGAGTTCAATTGGTATGGATTGTTGTTTTAATTATATTATATATTCATATTTTTTTCTTTTCTTAAAATATAGTACGTAGCTTTAGAACGTATTAAGCAGAATCCGAATGAAAGTTATGTATTATATTAAGTATTAAATTTAGGGGAAAGATATAAAGGCGTCATACTCCAATCAGTGATAACAGGAGAAATTTTGTATTAATGAGAAAAGATAGTAGACAGCTGAAACAGGACAGACAAAGGATATAAGTATAATGATTTAAATTGAGATGAAACAAATAAAATAGAATTAAGAGAGTGAAAAGAGGGGAGAAGCTATATAGAAAATGTAGAATGGTAATAAGATATGGAATGGTATATAAAAGTGAGCATGAATTTGAATTTATGTCTGTACGAAGAGATGTAACCCGGGATCAAGCTGCTTTCAAAAAAAGATGTTTTATGTTTTCATGTTTTGTGTTTTGTTTGTATATGTTTGTTTTTTAAAAAGTAATAAAATTTTTGGAAAAAAATAATAACAGTCCCCTCCCCCAGCGCCCGCTGTCAGCTCTCCCCATTAGTTTTCTAGCTTTGAATTGCTCCCGGCTCTCGAAGCCTCGGAAACACAGGCAAAGTCACCACAGCAGTAGCGCCCTGAGTTGCTTGCTTCTCCACTACTGCCTCCTCCTCCTCCTCCAGCACCACTTCCTTCTCTGGGTAGGGCAATTCTTAACTAACTGAGAATGCTAAGGCAACTCAGGACGCTACCGCTGCAACGGATTTGCCTGTGTTTCCGAGGCTTCGATGTTGGGAGAGGCAGCGAGGGCTGGAAAAGGGGAGAGCTGTGCACAGCTCCATCTCCCTTCCCTTTCCTGCCTGCACATGGGCAGAGT